ACTATCACTAAGAAGACAAGTTTGAACAAATTTTGAGTTCTAAATATCACTATTCTTATTTCTAACTAATTAAATAACAAATTAAAATAGTAAATTAACAACTAAAGATACTAAGGGTTGGAGAAAAGATTAAGGAGGTCTAGAGTTATGATTTCCCTAATTGTCGGAATCCTCCTCCCTACTCCTTTTATAATTTCACCTAAGTATTCTCTACTGATCGTGAGTACTTTGGGTGTCGTAGCCTCTCTCGAGCAACTACCACAATCTACTAGACGTATTCTCTCGAACTACGCTAGCTGGCACTAATTCACCGCTCACTACAATCGCACCAAGGTTTTGTTATCTCTAATCCCGCCTTTAAACTCTCCTTATTGATATCTCACGGTTAGGAGTGATGTTGTTTATCAACTACCTAAATATTTACCCTCTCTCAAGCAATACACACTATATAGGTACAGTCAATTGATGGTTATTCAATCGATAACAATAAACACGTAGTTGAACAAGTAGAGAAATCCAAGGCTAAATTATATTAAACATAATTAAAAGTCAACCTCCAAGAGGTTCCATCAAACCCTAGATGACAAAGTTTAGCTACTCATAACTATACTAACAATCATGATAATAATTGAAAGCATTAAAATACAGATTAAGGAAGAACGTAAGAGAAAACTCTTGTAATTCGTCGCTTTCAAGTGTTCCTGTAGCCTTCTTGCCTCTCCAATAATGTCTCCTCCCTAAAATACGTTTAGAACCCCTTTTATACATGTTGGGAGCGTGAAGGGTTGAAACTACCAAGTCCTAGCCAAATTAGGACGAAATCTGTCCTTGGGCATCTCGCTTGGCGTCTGGCTTTCCAAATCACTTTCAATTGACTCCTACATATATAAATACCATAATGAAGCTTGAGTCAAGAATATTCACACCAAAGTTAACAAGATCGAGGCATAATGCAAGGCAATTTACTTGCAAAAATATGGATTTTAAGCCTAATATCAATCCTGCGCACAAGTGATAAATCTTAATACGATAAAGTAAAGTTGGCTCTTGAATTAGTACGAAACACTATTTTAAACACTATTGATTGCCAACCCCCGATAATCAATGCTAAACAATATTTATTGCCAAAATTTGACGATCGCAAAACACAACATGAAATTAATGCTCGCTAGTCAAAGATAGTATAGTTTAATTATCGTCTCCACAGGGATTGAATTTAAACAGTGTTCGAATAATCTTCGGTTAATTACTATCCAAGAAAGTTAACACTTGATTTAATAATTATCAACTACGATTAACTACTAAAAATTAAACAATTAGCAATTGATCACAAAAGACAGCTTATGAGCAACAAAGAAATATCAATAAGAGAGATAAGGGTAATTGACTAGATAATTGACTCCGGCTCCAATTCTTGAGTTAGTTCACTCTACAATATTGTTGATTCTCAAGAACTCAACAGATAATCAGATTACACTTGAAGTTAATGTTCCTCTTTCGATTAAACGTTAAATTCAATAATTAACCCAATTGAGGCATGGTAAACAATTACAACAAATAAAATGATGGTTATGGTCTAAATGGTAACTTCTCACGAATATTTCCCTATTTTTCAGTTCGACTAATAGTTCAAGAAGCTCTTTCGATTACCTATTTGAATCACAAATTTAAACTAGAGCATAAGATGTAACGAAATTCAAAATAAAGCTCCTCTTCCGATTACGCAAAATAATAAATAACTTCACAATACAAATTAAAACTCCATCAATTAATTCAAATAATTTACAAGAATCGAATCCCTAATCAAATTATCAATACACAGTATTTGTCAATACACTAATGGAAATTACTCCATAGCAATTAAAAAGTCATCTCAATAAGGTTTAAAAACATAGAAAACATCAATGTTAATGATTCGATACAAACTCCGGTATTGCATCGATTGTTGGTTGAAATCTTGATGAATTCTTCTGTCTTCTTGCCTTAGTTACTTCTCATATCTTTTGGAGGTCAAAAGTCCCTTCAAAAATGTATTTTTTGGTGTATTTATACCGTGTAAAAGTGGGCCCGGACGAAACTACCCTTTCCTAGCCGAACAGGAGTTACTCTTACCAAAATGCACAGATGTGGCGTAGGGTGCAGCGCCCCATGTGGCACGCCTGTGGGGTTCATCAGAGACCTTGAATTTTGTCTATCAGGCAAGTTTTATACTGCAGCGCCGCTCCTCGCGACGCCTCATCCGGCGTGGCAGTGTAATTTTTTCAGAGTAACTTGTTCCTTTCACTTTTTGACATCCGGACTTGGTCTTCGACCCCCGAACGTGATACCGACTTAACTTCTTGGGCTTCTACTTAGACTTCAAAGCTCCAACTTGTTCGATTTAACTTCAATTTATCTTTTTAACTTAGAATCACTTCCTGCATGACATAAAACACGTAATAAGTATAATTCATTACCATTTAAGCTCAAACACACATAAAATGCAGTAATTAGAATGTAAGCTACGGCTAAAATACAGGTTTCTAGCCTAACATTATTTTACACTAATAATCCTAATTAATCATTAAAATACTTCAATACTAATACCAAGTTCGATGCTTGATATAACCATATCTCCCTCTCTCTCTCTCTTCAATCTAATGAGTATGAATTTAGTTTCAACAAAATTGTTTAACCAAAAATTAGATTTTAGGTCAAAACTTGAATTTAGAAGAACTCGGGTTACTGATAATCGGAAAAGTATATAAGAAAGAGATTATGAATGATATAATCAGAAAGCAAAAAGAACAAAGTTTATTCCAGTAATATTTTCTCGTGTCCTACAGATGTTGTGACTTTCTCCTTTTATAGTTAATTTTAAGAGAAAGTGTAATGCCTTTGTCTTAATGAGGCAATTACGAGCAATAAATGACATTAAAAGAAACGTTACTCAATCATTCATACTAAATACAAATTCTCTAACGTATTTGGCATTTAATACTGAATTTGGACTCTTTTTTGCTATCAGATTCATGTCTTCAATTCCTTCTGATCTTCGAGCTTTAAATGACTCGAACAGGTACGAGTCTCGTTTCATTTGAATAATAGCTCGTGCCTTAAGTATCTTCTCTCCCGCATCTGTTGTTGCTCGTGCCTTCTAACTGATTACTACGCTTTGACTATTTGACCGGTCCACGTGTCATGACACGTCATCTTCAATATTTAAATTCAGTTTTTTCCCAATACAAAAATCTTAGTCTGTTTCTTCAACAAAATAATCACAATGTCTACGGATACATCTCCAATCGCTTCTCCTTCCATTCCGATATTTGAAATGCTCCTATAATTTTTTCCATTTCATTGCCACCCATTATCACCGACACCACTGTATTTTTTGTCGGAGATGTTAAATTGCAATGTGGTAAGTTGACCACGATGACAAATGCGAATTACATTTCGATTATTCGTCGAAGCGATGTAGTAGCGCTAGTCCTAGCCGCGACATTCTTTTGTTTCATCCTTTACAGAAGGGGTAGAAATGTTGGGTTCATAATATACGAATTTATGTTAATTATTTAGCACAGATCTGCATGTTAATTCAAAAGTTTTGCTAAACTTATTAAAGAAAATAAGTAGGAAAAAAAAAAAGAAGAACGAAAAGGACAGCAGACATGAAGAAGAAAGGGGAAGAAGGAGAAAGAAGGGGTGGTTCAAGAAGAGAAATAAAAGAGGTCCACCTTTTTATTTTTTCATTATGTTACGCGTTCAAATTTTTTTTTTGTTTTATTGTTTTGCCACATCAGCTATTAGAGTGGTATAACATTCATCACAATGTGTTTAGGGGGTAAAAAGTTATCTGTTTAATTTCAGTATTCAAATATGTTTTCTAGGCAAGTTTAATGGGGTATTTATGTATTTTTCCTTAAAATTATTATTGTGTTTACATTTTAAGCAAACATGTGATGATGCAATTGTTGCCCCAAACAGAAGGCAAAGCATCATTAAATTAACGCTAACTTCCAGCATGTGCAACCCTGGTCCTCCAAAGAATTTACTTACACTTTTTGATATTTATGAAATTGTATTAACTAATTCATTTCTTTTTTAAGTTAAAACTCTAAAATTAAATCCAACCCCAGTCATTAACCACTTACCAAAAGCTTTTAATAAGATGATCGTGATTTGGCTACGTGCAACTATTTCTACTATTAAAAAAAAAAAATTAATAAAGTCAAAAACAGTTGAGAGGTTAAAAGAAGGAGAAAAAGAAATCTTCTAAGTTTGTTTCTTGAGTCTAAGGACCCGGCTATGAGTTTTGCCAAAATAAATTTGGGATTTATTTTCAAAACTCATGTTTGGCCATTATATACATGTTTTTCCAAAATAAAGTTGGGAAATATGTTTTGAAAACGTATGTCCAAACACATTTTCATCTTCAAACCAAACTTCACCCAAATCAGATTTTTCAAAATAAATTTGGGATTTATGACCAAACGCTAGCTAAGTAGGTCCAAGTATCTATATGCTAATTTGAGATAGTACTACTATACTTCTTCGCATTACATATGTTCTCTTATTGATTTTCTATTTGGTTTATTTGATATAATAATAATAATAAAATAATTTTATGGCATTTACTAATTTTTGAAATACAAATTCAGCTTATTGTTCCAAGTCGATAATTTTATTGTTTGAATTTCTCAGTTAATATTTTAATAGTTTTTCTTTCACAACTCGTGCTAAAACCAAGTCAGATTAGCATCCAAATATTACACTATGCAAATAGCTTAATATATTTATATTTTGCCACTGGTAATAGCCAAAAAAGCATTGGCAATTATGAGTAAGTAATGTAGAAAGCCAAAAATAAGGGAAATAGGAACATTTATTTCTTTTTCCTCACATCAGGCCAAATCACCGACGCAATGGACCAATACTCAGTACTACGTGTCTTCAATACACACGCTTTTGAGTACCTAAGCTTAAGATGTCAGACTCCCCATCTCTCTCTCACACACATACAGACACACAATTCCTGTGAGAGAGATAGAGACATAATTAAAAAAGTGCGACTTACGTATTTAGTACACACAAATCGATCTATAGAACCATCATTTGTCATATTTTAATGACAAAAACATCGTATTTATGATATGGAAAGATCATGAAACTTAACCAACAGCTTTCCTTTTCTCCGCCATAAGTGTATTGCTCTTCTCCATAGCGGCGTTGCAAAACCCCAATGCATGCCGCCTTCTTAAAACCTACATTGCATTTTCCATTCTTCTCCTTCCTTTTTTTTATTTACAAATTTTCTTCAGCAGATCTAACAATATTTCTAAAATACCGTAAAAAATCATTCCCAAAGTAACAAAACTAGCCGAGATTTTGGCTTAAAAAAGATCCTTATTCCTCACCTATAGCTAACTGTCTTCACTACAATAGAATTGTACCTTCTAAAGCTTAACACATATTTTGCTATCTTTTGTTCAGCTCGACTAATATTTTGCCATCTTTTTATTTTTTTTTTCCTTTTTTGTTTGGCATTTTTCTTTTTGGGTTGCAAAAAATGACAATGAAACTGACCCAGAAAGAAAAAGATTCAGAAAAAATAATTTGGGATCAAATGAGAAGCTCTTCTGGTACACCTTTTTCGATTATTGCTGTGCCTAAACTCATGGTATGGCTTATACTTTTTGTATCAGCTACTTATGTTGTTTACACTCTTAAGCTTCTTTCCTCTTCTCCACCTTGTAACGACGACGTTTTCACCCACAGCAGCTCTAATATTTTGCCAATTATTCACTCACAAATCAACTCCAATGCATCAGTTGGTGTAGATAAAGCAAGATTTTTACAAGAAAATAAAGTGGTGAAAACTGAATTAGAGCACGTAGTTTTTGGCATTGCAGCTTCAGCCAAGCTGTGGAACAAGAGGAAAGAATATATTAAGCTATGGTGGAAGCCCGAGAAGAAAATGAGAGGGATTGTTTGGTTGGATAATTCAGTGAAAATATTGAAAAACGAAACTGATTCACTCCCTGAAGTGAGAATTTCAGGTGACACTTCACATTTTGCCTATAAAAACCGGCAGGGGCACCGGTCGGCGATTCGAATATCGAGGATTGTTTCGGAGACATTAAGGTTAGGGATGGAAAATGTGAGGTGGTTTGTAATGGGTGATGACGACACTGTTTTTGTAACGGATAATTTGTTGAGGATATTGAATAAGTACGATCATAATCAATATTATTATATAGGGAGTTTAAGTGAGAGTCATTTGCAGAATATATATTTTTCTTATAGTATGGCATATGGGGGTGGTGGTTTTGCAATTAGTTATCCTTTGGCTAAGGCTCTTGATAAAATGCAAGATAGGTGTATACAAAGGTATCCTGGACTTTATGGTTCTGATGATAGAATGCAGGCTTGTATGGCTGAACTCGGTGTTCCACTCACCAAAGAACTCGGTTTTCACCAGGTTAGTCTGCTTTCTTCCTTCTATTAAAGGAAAAAGAAGGGCCGTCCGGTGCACTGCTCCAGCTATGCGCGGGTCCCGTGAAGGGCCAGGCTACAAGGGTTTATTGTACGTAGCCTCACCTACCCGTGACCTCTTGGTCACATGGCAACAACCCGTTATGCCAAGGCTCCCCTCGCATTCTTCCTTCTATGTTATGTTAATTTTACCTTTCTTTTTATTGCACTGATTATCCATAATTGGTTTTTAATATGGGAGTAAGAATATAATAGTTGTTGCTTGATAATGTAGAACTTGTTGCTCTCTTGAATTTGGCCAGCTTATTCTGTAAGGTTTAGTACTTTAGCCTACTTACTTTAACAATGCGAGTTGTTTGTGAATAACAATGGGATAAACTACTCTTTTGCCAAAAGGTTAGTCCTAGAGGCGTGGAGTATTTTATACCATTGCAGCATTACCCTTTTATTTATAAGTGTTAATCGAGCTAAAGTGTTTTAAAGATAACTTTTTTTAATGTGAGCTCACACCAAAAAAGAAAACAGAGGAGTCTGTTTCATATCAGATTTCAGCTAATTGGTTGTCGTGAGATAATGGTTGTTAGAATGTGTTGTTTTTTCTCCTTGAGTATTCAGGTGGAATTGTCCCGTTAATATATTTACACAAATGATTTAAATTCTAGAATTAATGATGTGGAATGTGATTCGTTCATTGGATCGGTGTGAGTGCTGCTAGCTCTGATTGTATGTTTGATTAACGGCATAATGGAGTATCCATTCAACTGCCTGATGCAAGCATAGCAAGCATACATGACCTCGTGCAATGAATATGGTAGATTTTATTTATTCTTTTTTACTGCATTTTGGTATTTGCATATGCTTGTTGAAGAAGTGATTGTGGATTGTAGCTTAGTTATAGTTACATATTTAAAATGTCTATTTTTTCAGTCATGAAAGACTGTTCCATTCAATCTGACTAAGATTTGTTGTTGGTGGATGGGAATGCAGTACGATGTGTACGGGAACTTATTCGGGTTGCTAGCATCACATCCTGTAGCACCATTGGTATCATTGCACCATCTTGATGTGGTGGAGCCAATCTTTCCCAATGTGACTCAAGTGCAGGCTTTAAAGCAGCTTACAGTTCCAATGAAACTCGACTCAGCTGGTATTATGCAGCAATCCATTTGCTATGACAAAGTTAATAGTTGGACTATTTCAGTGTCGTGGGGATTTGCAGTACAAATATTTCGTGGAGTTCTGTCTCCCCGTGAAATAGAAATGCCATCAAGGACTTTCTTAAACTGGTATAGAAGAGCAGATTACAAGGCATATGCTTTTAACACAAGGCCTGTTATGCGTAACCCGTGTCAAAAGCCTTTTGTATTTTACATGTCAAGCGCAAAAATGGATTCTTCCGGCAACCAGACTTTGAGTCAGTATACTCGTCATCGAATTCCTCATCCACTATGCAGATGGAAAATGGCTAACCCTGCCGATGTTGAGAGAATACAGGTTTACAAGAAGCCAGACCCCCACTTATGGGATAGGGTAAGTCCGTCCTTATCGTGCATTTGATTTATTTGGCTTCATATATAATCATCAAGTAGGAGAACCTTGGCATAACTGGTAAAGTTGCTGCCATCGAGCCGTGGAAAGAGCCTCTTGCAGAAATGCAGGGTAAGACTGCGTACAATAGACCCTTGTGGTCCGGCCCTTCCCCGGATCCCGCGCATAGTGGGAGCTTAGTATGGTCAAGAACTGTTTTTTACCATGGTTTTGCATATAGCTAAGCTAATTTTGTCATTAGAGGTTACATGTGATTTGACTGAGCTCTTGCAATGAGCATACCTGTGTTTGGAATGATATCTTAGTCCTGTAAAGGGGTAGTTTTGAATTGATATATTATCTTGATTTTCGAAAAGTATATTTTGTTAGTAAGCTAACTGAACAAAACCAATAGCTAGGAGCATTGCTACGGCATTGGCAAATGCCAAAAACTTAGTACCATTGTTTTATTTAGAGGGCACTTGATTTCTACTTATAATGACTGTATATTACTATTGGACAGTCTCCAAGGAGGAATTGTTGCAGAGTCTTGAGCTCAAAGAAGAAAAGCATGGTGGTGGATGTGGGTGCATGTAAGGAAGATGAAGTCAGTGAAGTATTATGATGCATAATGTGTCAGCCCATCCTTTTATTCTATCTTCTGCTGCCCAATTTACTGTCACCTCTATTTCTTCATTAATTTATTGAACTTATTTTCTTGGATTTCCAAGTTCCACTTATAGCCACTTGGGGAAAAAAATAGCTATTGTAAAATGTCTTAGTTGTATACTTGACATTCTTAAGTGAGGTTAGTATAGCATAGAATTCTGTAATTTTTTAATAATATTAATCCCTTTTCTTGGGTTTCAAAAGTCTTTCATTCTTGATGGTTACTGCCTCTGCTTTTCTTTGGGTAAGTTAATGTGCATGACTAATATTGAAGAAGGTGAAGTTTATACTGTAGTGGTGTGTAGTGGTGGCAAATGATAAAAGAAACAAATATAGGTCCATATTATTTACTAAAATATAGGTCCATATTATTCATTGAAATATAGGTTGGATAATAAACTTTTTAAAAAGAATCAAATATGGATAAGAACCATAATATTAATTTAAAACATAGATAACCAATGTGCTTAACTTTTATATTGCAAAGACTCAAATTGTGAGTTTCATAAATTTGGAAAAGACTAGAAATCCTCCAAAATGTGATCATATACAAGAAGTCATGGATAATATGGATATCCATATTATACACCCGTTAATCCATTTTCTATCTGTATTAAATATGGGCTGGGTCGGATATTTTATTCGCTTTTGCATTATCCCTTTTCGACCCGCCCATGTCCGACTCGACCCGCTATTTGCCACCCCCAGTGGTGTGCATGTGTTATTGTCACGATTCAGATTTCTCACCCTCGGGGGTCATGATGGCGCCTATAATGGAAGCTGGGCAAGCCAATTGTTCCAATTACTTAACTTTTTTTCTTTAGTTTTAATCCTTCGACAATGGTGAACAACATCATATAAACAATGGAATTAAATAAGCGAAGAAAAGAAATGTAACGATTTAAATATTTCCGACACAATTCCATAACTAAAAGCTACCCAAGTCTGGTGTCACAATTTCACAGACTGTCTAAGAGTACTACAAATAAAGGTCCGAAAAATAAATACAAACTGTTTCAGAAATACATAGAGGAAACAGTAGAAAAAGATAGAAGGAGACGCCAAGGCCTGCGGACACCTGCAGGACTACCTCGGGTCGCCTGAATGGACTGAAGACAGCACCCTCACTGCGGTCCAAACGCTCCGGTATCAGCATCTGCACACAGTACAGAGTGTAGTATCAGCACAACCGACCCCATGTGCAGGTAAGTGCCTAGCCTAACCTCGGCGAAGTAGTGACGAGGCTAGGACCAGACTACCAAATAAATCTGTGCAGTTAAATCATATACAGCGGAATAAAGGCGGATATTTACAGTTAAAGAGGGGAGGGAAAAAGCATGCTGCGGGGAGTATCAGATAACAACAGAATACCAAAGAGGAATGTAAGGAAACCTAAATTCAATTGCTAACAAGAATAAGAGAAACAAACACAGTATTCACTTCCATTTCTTTCTCGTTGCAGGTGTACAACCCGCTCCCATTTCATGTATCTCGTTGCAGGCGTGCAACCCGCTCCCATTTCATATATCTCGTTGCAGACGTGCAACCCGCTCCCATTTCATATATCTCGTTGCAGGCGTGTAACCTGCTCCCATTTCATATATTACCGTTGGAGGCGTGCAACCCGCTCCCATTTCATATATTACCGTTGCAGGTATGCAACCCGTTCCCATTTTATATATTACCGTTGCAGGCGTGCAACCCGCTCCCATTTCATATAATACTGTTGTAGGCGTGCAACCCGCTCCCATTTCACATATCTCGTTGCAGGCGTGCAACCCGCTCCTATTTCATATATCAACACCAATCATAGAAGAATCCCGGCAAGGGAACAATAATACAGCAACAACATCCCGGCAAGAGAACAATAATATAACAACAACATCCCGGCAAGGGAACAATAATATAACAACAATATCCCGGCAAGGGAACAATGATATAACAACAACATCCCAACAAGGGAACAATAATACAAATCATCATATTAAGCATGAATAAACCACGACGGAGTCACAACAATTACAATACAAGACTCACGGGCATGCTTGACACCGACGTATAGATACTCGCCACCATACCTATATGTCGTACTCCACAGTTAACACATAGCAAATAAGACATAACTCCTAATCCCTCAAGCTAAGGTTAGACCAAACACTTACCTCGATGCCTCGAACACAATTCAAGTCTCAACTACCGCTTTCCCTCTTGATTCCACCACCAATTTGCTTGTATCTAGCCACAAGTTACTTAAATATATCAATAAATGCTAAATAAATCAATTCTAATGCATGAAAATAGATTTTCTAAAGTTTTTCCCAAAAAGTCAAAAATCGACCCCGGGCCCCACATGGTCAAAACCTGAGGTTCGAACCAAAATCCGTTTACCCATTCACCCACGAACTCAAATATATAATTTTTTTTGGAAATCGGACCTCAAATCGAGGTCCAAATTCCCAAAATTCGAAAATCCTAAGTTCTATCCAAAACACCCAATTTCCCCCATGAAAACCCTTGATTTTGAGTTGAAATCATGTAAAAAGATGTTAGAGATTAAAGAAAACGAGTTAGAAATGACTTACAATCGATTTGGAAGAATAGTTGTCTTTGAAAAATCGCCCAAAGGTGTTTAGGTTTTGAAAAGGTTGTAAAAATAGTTGAAAATGCGTCTAAGTTATGATTTTGCAGGTTGCAGATGGCGCAATTGCGACCAGGGTTCGCAATTGCGAACCCCTCAGAAAACTGCTCAATTCGCAAATGCGAAGATTTTTGTCGCATTTGCGACCAAGTTCAATTCTGGTCACCTTCGCATTTGCGAGGGACCCTTCGCAAATGTGAAATCGCTTTTGCGACATGAACATCGCATTTGCGACCAAAGCAGCCCAGGTCGACTTTCGTATTTGCGATGTTTTATTCGCATTTGTGATCTCGCATTTGCGAAGCTTGCAGACCTGCAACATACCAGCAATTTCCTAAGTCCAAATTCACTCCGTGGCCTATCCAAAACTCACCCGAGCCCTCGAGGCTCCAAACCAAGCATGCACACCAACCTAAAGATGTCATACATACCTGCTCGTGCAATCAAATCATCAAAATAACATCAACAACTTTGAATTGAACCCCAAATTCATGAAATCCTTCAAGAACACCAAAATTTCCAATTTCTCAACTTTAAGTCCATTTTATACCAAACCAATTCCGATCTTTACCAAATTTTTTCAAATTCAACCAAATTATTATGTCAAACTTGTACCGGGCTCCGGAACCAAAATACGGGCCCGATACCATCAAATTCAAACATATTTTATTTCCAAAAACTCATATATATTCTAGAAAATAATTTTCTTTAAAAATTTATTCTCGGGATTGGGACCTCGGAATTCGATTTCGGGCATACGCCCAAGTCCCATATTTTCCGACGGACCCTCCGGGACCGTCAAATCACGGGTCCGGATCCGTTTACCCAAAATGTTGACCGAAGTCAACCTAAATTCATTTTAAAGGCAAAATTCATCATTTTTCACAGATTTTCACATAATGGCTTTCCTGATACACGCCCGGACTGCACACACAAATCAAGGTGAAACAAAAAGGAGGTTTCTAGGCCTCGGAACACAGAATTTATTTCTAAAACAAGTGATGACCTTTTGGGTCATCACATTCTCCACCTCTAAAATAACCGTTCGTCCTCGAACGGACATAGAAAAGAAGTACCTGAGTCGGGGAAAAGATGGGGATATCGGCTCCGCATATCGTACTCGGACTCCCAGGTCGATGCCTCAGCAGGCTGACCTCTCCACTGAACACGAACAGAAGGGAAACTCTTCGATCTCAACTTAGGAACCTACCGGTCTAGAATAGCTACTGGCTCCTCCTCATAGGACAAGTGCTTGTCCAACTGGACAGTGCTGAAATCTAACACGTGGGATGGATCGGCGTGATACTTCCGCAGCATATGGACACATGAAACACTGGATGCATGGGGATAAACTCGGCGACAACGCAAGTCTGTAAGCCACCTCTCCCACTCGATCAAGAATCTCAAACGGGCCAATGAACCTAGGGCTATGCTTGCCCTTCTTTCCAAATCTCATCACGCCCTTCATGGGCGACACCCGAAGCAACACTCACTCGCCGACCATGAATGCCACATCACGAACCTTACGGTCGGCATAACTCTTTTGCCTGGACTGAGTTGTACGAAGCCTATCCTGAATGATCCTGACCTTGTCCAAGGCATTCCGTACTAGATCCGTACCCAACAACCGAGCCTCTCCCGACTCAAACCACCCAACCGGTGACCGACACTGCCTACCACATAAAACCTTATAATGAGCCATCTGAATGCTCGACTGGTAACTGTTGTTGTAGGCAAACTCCGCTAAAGGAAAAAACTGGCCCCACGAGCCTCCAAAGTCAATAACACAAGCTCGGAGCATATCCTCCAAAATCTGAATAGTACACTCAGACTACCATCCGTCTGAGGATGAAATGCTATGCTCAACTCGACCCGTGTGCTCAACTCACGCTGAACTGCCCGCTAGAAATGTGAGGTAAATTGCGTACCTCAATCAGAAATGACGGAAACGGGCACACCATGAAGACGAACAATCTCCCGGATATAGATCTCAGCTAACCTCTCAGAAGAATAGGAGACTGCCACAGGAATGAAATGCGCTGACTTGGTGAGCCTATCGACAATAACCCACACTGCATCGAACTTCCTCTGAGTCCGTGGGAGTCCAGCAACAAAGTTGATGATAGGCTGTAATTACGTATTTTAGTCGATTATTACACTCCAATTTACTGCACTTTAATTGAGTTTGAGTTTTAATCGCTAGTGTTTAGCACTAATGGTGTGTTTTATGCCTTGTAGGAGTGATTCCGAGCTATGTAGATGTTATGGAATGAATTCAAGTGATTTGGAGCTTTGAATTCTGAGTAAAAGCCCAAGGAATTAAGCTGGGATCGTGTTTGGAGGTCGTGTACCAAGTCCGGATGTTAAAAGAGGACGAAATAAGTTCACTCTGAGAAAATTACACTGCCGCGCCGCATCGTGCGCTGCAAGGTGCGGCGCAGCAGTGTAAAATGCTGCCTGATGCGAAAAGTTGAGGCTGCTGATAATCTCCACTAGCGCGCCGCAGGGTGCGGCGCGGCTGTACAAAATTTACAGAGCCAGAGTCCTAGTTCGCACGGG